GGTTGGTATTTTGGGGGTATCTCACTAAGCTTTCGGGCTTACATTTGTGGTTTAATGTTTTTCAGGTTCTTCAGGAGACCGTGGCAAGGCAAAGGCGTGATCGTACTGCTCCTCATGATTTTGTAGTAATGTGATTCTGGGAATACTCTAAATGATTTGTATTGAAAACCTTTTTGTAATAATTTAATGGAATAATAGATCCAATTATTATTATATTTACCAAGTTTCGGCCAAAAACCAGATCTATCCTTCTCAATTAGATCTGATTATAATTAAGGTAGAAGAAGATTGTCCTGTTATTGGATGAATTAACCACAAGACAGAGGTTGGTGAGTTTATAAGTTTTTGTTATGAAACTTAGTAGAAGTCTTTCCCATGTAAATGTCGCGTTTGTTTCAGAAAAATCCGATATTTTCCTTAAAATCCGTATAATGTAGCCTTATAACCAAAGACCAAAATGTATAAGAAATCATTCTTACTTAGTAGAAATGTCTTGAGTTTGAATTGATATAAAAAGTGAATTTAAATCAACCTAAAACCGACTTAGGTTTTATGATATCCCGTAAACTTTATGAATTGTTATCTCCCTATGTGAGTCGCTATAATCATACTATGACTATGTGAACCTGCCACGACGTTTCTCAGGCGTCGCGAAAATGAAATGACATTTGTCACCCGTAGACCTGCAGGTCCCACTGTAACTAGCAGCAAGGTGTGGGGTGTCAAACCCAATATAGATCTATATACAAGTATCACGTTCCCCTTCCAGGAGACTCTGATTATAACTACCAGGAATTATATTCCGCACTCGGACGTACGGATAGAGAGAATGTCTCACAATTTAGGGTAACAAGTTTACATATAATGTGTGTGAGTGTAAACCTTTTCTGTATGAATGTACTCTTTTAGTACGAGTGTGTTATGCAATATATCATAAACTATACCTATTATAGTTTATCTAAAACGTTTGTAATATGTAAGAACTCCTTTATGGAAATGTATTAGTGTTATGAATTTATTAAACTATACTTTTATAGTTTAATATACGTGTTCTAAAATGAATGATTAATATTTATTATGAATGACTTAGTTTCAGTTCATGATGACAAACTAACAAGGAAACACATTCAATAATTAGAACTTATGATTATACACTTTGCTCAACATAATACAAAGTGTTATGATATTTACATGCTGTTGGCTAACTTTAGCCATTCTGCCCTGTTTTGGAAAAATCATACGAAGTCGAAAACTAGATCCGTAAATTCTGAGAGTTCAAAAAATGTGTCTAGTTTACTCATCATTTTTATCACGATTTTTAATGACCTCCAACTTGGGTGAAAAAGTCCATATTCACAGACTGGTCCGGATTGTTGTTTGAAATGATAGGCAGTTTTGTAAAAATCACCATAAATTGTAGAAAAATCGTATGGAGATGTTCAAGTAGTCATTTTAAAGCTAAGAACTTGAACTATTTGCACCTTGTACAGTTTTGAAAACAAAAATGTTTAAGATGCCCAAAACAGTCCGTGAATGGGGTTGAACTTTTCTGATGAAGGCTGTTAGAAAAATTTAGTTATGTTCTTGGTGTTTTAACTTGTATCCCCCCCCCCCCCTTAAAAACTTGAGAAAACATGAAAATGTAGGGGTATGAACTCACCTTGAGTGATTTCAGTAGATAAGTGTTGAAGAAGAGAAGTGTTCAACCCAAGAACACTTGAAGAATCACTTGAAGATTCGAAGCTCTAACACAACCATGATGGAGTTTGTGTAAGATATCCATGATTTGAGTATAACAAGTGAAATAATCATAAGGAGGATGAATTATACTTACTAATAGTGGAAGAACACTTGAAAATCAGCCTTGAATCTCGAAATTTGTGGAGAAAAAGTTTGAGAGAAAAATGGTGCTTGATACTTAGTGAAATGAGAGCAAATGAGAGAAATGAGGAGAGAGGGTGTTTTGTTCCAGCTCTAAAAACGTGGGAATGAGTAGAGATTAAGTGCAAGGGACATTGAAGTGACCTAGGTAAGGTGGGGAGGTGTGGCTGGTCATAGAGTGGGTGTGGGAGTGGTTGCTTGTGTCATAAGGTAAAGCAAAGTCAACACTCCACCTCTTTGTACTTTACCCACTTGCTTTTATTATTTAAATAAAGATTTTTATGAAAATATGATTAAATTGTGAATATTTAGGGTTTATTATGTTAAAATATGATTTTGGGTGAAAATCCCACGTTAAAATAATTAAAAATGGGCCTTAAACGCAAAACTACGCGAAAACCGGGAAGAAAGGCATTCCCAGCGAGACCTCTCGGTCCCTAGGCCGAGGTTCGGTCCCTCTTAAGCGAGGTTCGGGTTCGGTTCCTCTTAAGCGGGGTTCGGGTTCGGTTCCTCCTGGGCGAGGTTCGGCCCTGAGAGGACCTTCGGCTTAGGAGGGTTCGGCTCCTCCTTGCTCTTGGTCCCTAAGAGGACCTTCGGGTCCTAAGAAGCTTCTCTCTTCTCGAGAGGTTTCGGTTCCTAATGTCCATTTTTCTCGTTTTTATCCCATTTTAAGCCGTTTTTGACACGGTTAAGGGTCGGAATGACCCGAATGATTCTAAAAAGTTACGAGAAACTTTGGAGAGAGATTTAGGAGAGATTTCACATACTTGGAGAGATTTGGTATTCATGGAGAGATTTCTCATACAAAGGGATATTTGAGAGAGATTTCACATACTTGGAGAGATTTGGGAGAGATTTGACATTCTTGGAGAGATTTCTCATACAAAGAGATATTTGAGAGAGATTTCACATACTTGGAGAGATTTGGGAGAGATTTGACATTCTTGGAGAGATTTCTCATACAAAGAGATATTTGAGAGAGATTTCACATACTTGGAGAGCTTTCTCATACAGAGAGATATTTGAGAGAGATTTCACATACTTGGAGAGATTTGGGAGAGATTTCACATACTTAGAGAGATTTGGGAGAGATTTTGCATACTTACAGAGATTTCTCATACAAAGAGAGTTTTGGGAGAGATTTCACATACTTAGAGAGATTTTCAAATAGAGAGAGATAGAGTGAAAACGATTGAGAGAGGTTTCGAGTGTGGCATTTGTGAGTGTCTGGATTCGCAATGCAAGGTCCGTAAACACTGTTAAGCCTTGTTTAAGGATCTTACCCATTCCCGATGAGTATGCAACATGGTTTTATCAGTTTAGTTCATTGATTTGCTCTAAGGCTCAGGAAATTTTAACACAAGATTTTTCCCAAGTGATGTTTTCCCATTAATATAGCAAGTTATACATTATGAACATAACACAAACCCTAATACACAAGGTTTAATCGAGTTGACCGGTTTGACTTGATGACTCGACTTGACTCAAGATTGACGATTGTCACAGAGAGCTTTCAGATTTCGTATGTCAATGCGAATCCTAAGGAGCTGTATTTATAGGTATTGTAACCGTAGAAGGCATCAAACGGGTCCCCATAGGCCGGCCCTAGAAACCCTAGGGCGACAGCTTGCTCTCCAAGCAAGCCATTTCCTGATCCTTCTAGAATACCCTGACTTGTCCTCCACGAAGTCAACGCCGATCAACCATTTGACCCGAGCTCGTCAAAAATAAAAGCTCCTCAGCTCCCAGCGACCGATGCAGAGTGTGCCTAAATCGCGCCGTTTCGCGCACTCGCGGCGTCGGCTAGTGCTAGGTTAAGCTAGGCGCGCACATGGGCTTGATCCATTCCTTTGATCCACTAAAACCTTTGAAGGCTTACCAAGGGAATAGGCTTATAAACCCACAAAAGTTTCTTCCCTCCACCAATGTGGGATACAAAGGAAATTGCCAACTTGCAATTCCTTTATATATAAAGTTCCAACATAGATGCTATATGCCTTTAGATTCTATGTAGGTAATTCGTACATGGATGTCATATATGGTTTCGGGCGACGATAAGGATAAATGCAGAGTGTGTCAACTTAATATACGAAAAGCTTTTGTCGACCATGACCCACTGTGCAAATCTTGTCATGGTTATTCCATCATCTGTAAAAGCTTTTATCGACCGTTATGTTATTTTTCTATGCCATTGTGATTCTTTAACGTCACATGTTAGAAAGAATTAAAAGAAATTGTCGATTAAAATGTTGGAATCGAACAACAATACAAATTCAGTGAGAATCCAATCAAACCTACATGTGGAAAACACTTCTCCATTGTCATCTCATGGTGAATGGCAAATGAAGATGGTTGGTAATGCGACGACGGCAAAAATGAAAAGCAAGGTTAAGGTTTATAAGTTTATTGTATGTTCGGACTGGATATGGATGAAAGATGATACATGAGATGGTGTGCAATGGCGAAGATGAAAAGAAGATGTGTAACATTTATTTGTTTATTAAATTAATTTAGTAATAATATGATTCACATGTCTTTACTTTATTTTTGTAAATGACGTTCAAACCTCTATAGTTTGGTAAATAAAATTTATAAGTACTATTCTCTTATATAAAACCTTACAGAAGAATTAAATTACGTTATACATCTTAATAAACAAAAGTTAAATTTGTTATTTTCCCTCAATTTACCTTTTTATTCATGATATCCTACTTTGGGTCGTCCATATACCAAAATTCACATTTTCCTTGATGAAATCAAATTAATAAAACAAAATGTTATTCCTATAAAACAAATCGTTAGTAAAAATGCCTTCAAATTCACTAACCAGATTTTATTTTCTAATTTTTGACATTTTTTTTTTCAAACGACACTCTACTCAACTGGTCATTGTCGGATATCGAGTAACATGCTACCAAAGAAAAAAAATCTGGGGTTCAAAATAAGAATCACAATACTTTTGTGTCTAAAACGAAATCAACATAAGTGCAAAAATATAGACGTTGAGATTTAGGCATTTTTAGCTTCTTCAATCAACGGCCTGGATTCTTCAAATTCAAAATCATATGAAATCGCCCCTTTATACTCTCCTTTCACTTGCCCGTTTAAATCTCTCGACGCTCTCTCTCTCTCTCTCTCTCTCTCTCTCTCTCTCGTACACATTCATCCTGCTCGCATCAATTTCTCTAATTTGACGTGTTTTTTCGAAGATCTTCAGTAGAATTTTCTAATTTCACGGCTGACAAACGCAGATTCATGGCAGGTAACTTCAATTATATTCGTTTTGATTATTTAGGGTTTTTATACGCATATGGATAGAGTTCTTGAGAGTGATTGGTTTGTTTTCCTTGAACTTTTCAGATAAAACTGGAGAATTGGAAACGATAACAATGAGTATGAAGCAATTAAAACTAGATCCGGATCAAACCATAGAAGGATCTCCAGATTGTAATTCAGGTTAGATGTTTTGGTCTAAACTTTTAGTTTTCTTAGGTTATGAGTCCCATAAGCAATAACTGAAGATATTCAATTGGATTTTCTGTTTTCATTCACTTTCAGAAACTGTTGAATCCGATGGTGGTGAGTGTAACAATGATATGCATTCTGATCAAGAGCAGCGCACCCTTCCCATATTTGAAAAATTCGAAAAGTTGAGCAACAAAGTGAAGGTATAAGTTACAATTCCTTTGTTTCTTTTGTAATTTTATCCTTTTAGTAATTTCCAACATTCTTATTTAAAAAATTCTGCATTTGTTTTGTTTCAGAATCTGAGAAAAGAACATACTGCATTATGCAACGAAGTGAAAAACATTACAACGGATTCTTTTCCTGGCTCTGAAGTTTTTACTGCTCTTCAGAATCTTGGTATCTTCCCTAATTCCACTTTCAATCTGTTCTTGGTTTTATTCTTTAGTGTGTACATAAACTTAACTGATTATGATCATGTTGTTGCTCTAAGGCGAGGAACACGAGAACTTAAAAAAGAAGTATCAAGAAGAGTGCCAAACATTGAAGAACAGATTCCATCTAGAATGCTCAGAGAGAAGAAGACTCTACAATGAAGTAATTGAACTCAAAGGAAACATCAGGGTGTTCTGCAGATGTAGACCCTTAAATCACGATGAGATCACTAAAGGGTCAACTTCAGTGGTTGACTTTGAATCAGTTCAAGAAAACGAGCTCAAGATAATCGGGTCAGATTCATCTAAAAAGCAATTCAAGTTTGACCATATTTTCAAACCAGAGGACAACCAAGGTAAATAAACAAACAACAACAAATTCCAGTGATCATTTCATTATCATTTTCATCCTCATAATCTCATCCAATTATCTTATCACAATCACTTGCAGAGGCTGTTTTTACACAAACTTTGCCTCTAGTGGTATCAGTCCTGGATGGCTTTAACGTATGCATTTTTGCATATGGACAAACTGGAACTGGAAAAACATTCACAATGGAAGGAACACCTGAACACAGAGGAGTCAACTATCGAACACTGGAGCAACTATTCAAAGAATCTGAAAACAGAAGTGATATCATGAGATATGAACTCTTTGTCAGCATGTTAGAAGTTTACAATGAGAAAATCCGCGACCTTTTAGTTGAAGACACTGAACACCCTGCTAAAAAGTAAGCATTCTTGAATTCTTGAATTCTTGAAAATGTTGACATATCTGATATACCATCTTAGTTTTCTACATTTTACTCATAAACATAACAAATCCAGGTTGGAAATTAAGCAATCAGCTGAAGGAACACAAGAAGTTCCCGGACTCTCTGAGGTGGCTGTGTACAAGACAGATGAAGTTTGGGAATTGCTGAAAAGTGGGAGTCGTGTCAGATCTGTTGGATCTACCAATGCCAATGAGCTAAGTAGCCGATCTCATTGGTATGTGTGTGTGTGTGTGTTTTTGATTATAGAATTGTAGTTTTGAATATGAAATCTTTAAGGAAAATGTTGTTGTGATTTGTGAAGCTTATTGAGGGTGACTGTTCGTGGGGAGAATTTGGTAAATGGACAGAGGTCAAGAAGTCATCTTTGGTTAGTTGATTTGGCGGGAAGTGAACGTGTGGGGAAGATTGAAGTTGAAGGTGAAAGATTGAAGGAATCCCAATTCATAAATAAATCACTTTCAGCTTTAGGTGATGTGATTTCAGCTCTTGCATCAAAGACTTCTCACATTCCTTACAGGTATGTCTCTCTCATCTGGATTATTATTATTTTTATTTTATTTTATTCTTATTTTCAATCTTTCTTTTTGACCAAATCAGGAACTCAAAGCTTACACATATTCTTCAGAGCTCTCTAGGTGAGTTTTCTTTGTGCATAATGTTGTGATAAAATTACAATAATACAATAAATTAGTAAAAGTAGATTGCTATTTCTTGCAGGAGGTGATTGTAAGACATTGATGTTTGTGCAAATAAGTCCAAGCTCATCAGATTTGGGAGAAACAATTTGTTCCTTGAATTTTGCAAGCAGAGTGAGAGGTGTTGAACATGGCCCAGCTAGAAAACAAACTGATGTCACTGAACTTTTCAAATATAAGCAACTGGTAATTTCATTTATTTATTATATTGTTTTCTTATATAATTAAATTAATTAATTATCTCTTGTTTATTTTGTTAAAAAAAAATAGGCTGAGAAAGCAAAACATGACGAGAAAGAAACCAAAAAGTTACAGGATAATCTACAGTCTGTGCAACTACGTCTTTCTGCAAGAGAACACATATGTAGAACTCTTCAAGAAAAGGTAAATAAATCAAGAAATAAAATAAAATAGCAACATTAAAGAACAATTACTTATTATTATTAATTATTTATTTTGTGGTTTTTAGGTACGAGATCTTGAAAGTCAATTAGCTGAAGAGAGAAAAGCGAGACAAAAACAAGAAAACCGAGCTCTTGCTGTGGTTTCTTCTTCACAATCTTCATTAAAACAAAGTCTGACTACAATATCGGAAAAAAGACCTCCATTGATTCCTTCCACATCAAAACTCCGCCTCCCTCTCAGAAGAATCACAAATTTTGTGTCCACTAATCCACCATCATCCGCCACCTCAAAATTTAAATCCAATTACAGCAGCTTACTTTCCGATGAAAAGGAAAACCTCTCAAAACCACAAACCACCAAACCGCTCTCTCGGGCCCGCCGCGGATCCATCGCGTCAAAACCGACTCCGGCGGCAAATCAGGTTTTGAAGCCGAAGAGGCGGGCGTCGATTGCCGCTTTCCATTCGGAATCAAGCAACACTCCGGTGGCGGGAACTATCGGTGGTGGTGGTTCGAGGCTGAGGGATGATGGTAATCGGGTGGTGGCGCGGCAGTCGTTTGTGTGGGATAGGCAAAGGGTGTTGAGGACTTCGAGGGTGGAGTCGCCGTTGGATAAGGAGGCGGCGGTGGAGGGGACACCGGTGGCGGCGGCGCCGAGGAGGTTTATGGGGAGCCCGCCGCCGTCGCAGGCGGTGGGGTCGTGGAAGCCGAAGCATCCGACGGTGGTGGCGTTGCAGAGGAAACAGTTGGTTTGGAGTCCGTTGAAGTATAGAGGGACAAAAGCAGTGAGGAAGTCGTTTGTGTGAAACAGTTGAACGTTTGTGGTTAATAATTTTTTTTTTTTTTTTTTTTCTTTTGGTGTTTGGATATGGTTAAAATGTATGCTTCTTGCTTGCTACAGATACTATGATGACCTATATGTTGTTGCCTTTTTTCAAAAAATATGTTTGAATGTTGAAGGCAAATTGAATTGTTATGTAGTTTATGCTAAAACATTGTAAGTTTGGTGTTAACCATGTTGGGTAATATGAATACAGGTTTATGGGTGTATATCAATCACCTTACTAACCTTAAAACATTGCAAGTTTGGTGTTAACCATATCATTGATTATGGTCATATTATTTTATGGTAATTTCATAAACAATCTTTCAAACTTAGAGAACTAAAGTCTTATTATAGCAATTTCATTGAAATTACCACAAAAAACAAAAAAAAGCTTAAAAAACTATACCAAATCAAACAAAACAAAAGAATATTCTCGTCCAATAATAGCATATCATTGCTCAATTCAAACAACTTCAAGTAAACATGTTTCCATAAAACGAACAAGTCATTTGAACTTCAAACCATCAATATCAATATTCAAATCAATAATCAATTGTGTTGGAAACTCATCTCAAACACTACAACAGTGTAGTAGTCATATCTAATAATAACTATACATACAGACAACAAACATCATCATCAACTCTTGAACAACACAACAGGTTATAACATAGTTTCAAGGCATAATAGATTGAAAGATATATGAAAAGTTTAAAACGGCACCCACAAAAACTCATAACCGCATCATAACGAATACTCTCTTCTAATCAATTGGTACATCAGAAAACAATCCTTTACCAGACTGTTTTTCGCAAATAGCTTTGCTTTCGACATGCCATGTGGCCCTAAAATACGAAACTTACAGAAAAAAATTGTTTTAAGTTATATAATAGTTTTGGTGCCCTTAATTCTTTTGTTCTCATAGACATTGATTAATGATACCACAAACTTTATGCTTTCGATAAGATGACCTTTGATTTTTTTCTTTCTTTATTTAATACAAATGAAATCGGTTTGAATATGGTAAGACACATGGATGTATTATGTACATCTTTAAAAATTAAAAGTCAAAGATCAGTCAACATTCAAGAAGGTGTATATGAATTTAGTCGGTAATGTTTTTTGAAAAAAAGGAATTGGCATCGCCTTTCCCTCCTTTCCCCCACATCTCACCTCACACACTCTCTCTCTCTCTCTCTCTCCAACTACGAACTATTTTCTGTTTACCAAAGGAATCCAGATGAATCCATAAACCCTAACAGCATTGCAATTGAAACTAGTAGCGATGCACGACATGTTCGGATCAGTCCGTCGATCTCTGGTTTTCCGTACTCCCGACGGCGGCGATCCCGGAACCCTAGCCGACAAAATCCATTCATGTATTCGCAAGTCAAGAGTTTTCTCTAGAACTTCCTCATTTCTGCCTTCACCTCCACGGGTGGTAAAAGAGAATGATGAGAAAGTTCCTACTATCCGGTGGCGTAAGGGTGAATTGATTGGGTGCGGGGCTTTTGGTCAAGTGTATATGGGCATGAATCTCGATTCTGGAGAGCTTCTTGCTGTTAAACAGGTTTAAATTTTAATTTCATTTGCCTCCATTTTGGTTTTCTGATTCTGATTTGAGCTCTGATCTTGATTAGTCTGTTTTCAGGTTTCAATTGCTGTTAACAGTGCGTCTAAAGAGAAGACTCAGGTTTGGACGCTATGTTTATTTGAGTTAACTGTTTAGTGTGTAAGATGCATTTTTCTTCTTTTGTTTTTCCATAGATTTTTTCCTTATTTGGATACGCATTCAATCAGCTTACCTCAGATAAGTAAATTAACAGAATGCAGGACAAACTAATAGCAAATGAATGCTTTATTGATCAAACTTCTATTTCAGCTTATACATTCTACCTCATTCCTGTTCAAATTATACTTTGCATTCTCTTCTGAGATGGAGGGATTATTATGTTTACAGCAGCTGATCATCATAATTGTTTGATCTTAGTCCGTTACTGGTTTCTGTGCCTGTATGTAGTTATTTTTCTTTTGTTCATGAGACTCATACTATAGAGAACTCCATGTAGATGTTAGATACAGATAGAAAGATGATGCTGTATAGCAATGAATGCATTTATTTGCAAAAAAAAAAAGGTTCTAGTCATAACTTTGTGTCTTCTAAATCCAACCCTTCAAGAAAATTAGTATAATGTTTTCTACAAATCTTTGGGACCAGGAGATATATAGTCAATGCATTTTTATATGATTTATAGTCATACCCATCAATCTCTGAGTCTGTATTCATGTATGCCTGTTACTTTATTTCAAGTTATTCAATTAGTCTTTAGTGCTTACTTAGCTCGGTGGATTGTACAATAGGTTCACATAAGGGAGCTTGAAGAAGAAGTGAAGCTTCTTAAGAATCTTTCTCATGCAAACATTGTTGTAAGTGAAATGTCACTGAGTTTATAGGAAATTTCGATTCTTTAATCTTTACCAAACTAATGCTGTTATGTTTTGGTACTTTAGAGATATCTTGGAACAGTAAGAGAGGAGGAAACTTTAAATATTCTTTTGGAATTTGTTCCTGGAGGATCAATTTCATCTCTTTTAGGCAAATTTGGACCCTTCCCTGAAGCAGTATGTAACTTTCTAATCACAATTTTCACTTTTTTTTTTTTATCCCTTTGGTTATCTTCTTATATTATAACTTATCTCTTTTTTTCAGGTCATAAGAATGTACACAAAACAATTATTATTGGGGCTTGATTACTTGCACAAGAATGGGATAATGCATCGCGATATTAAGGTGTCTATTTTGTCCTTTTTCTTGTTCTAAGTTTTTTACTTCATCATTCTGCAATAATATATAAATCTCTTTTCACATTCAGGGGGCAAACATTCTTGTTGACAATAAAGGATGCATCAAACTAGCGGATTTTGGTGCATCAAAACAAGTTGTTGAACTGGTAAATCCTCTACCTTTTTCACCTTTATTTAATTGAAGAACAATTACCATAGACAAGTTTATATTTGATATAAAAACTAAACTTTTATCAGGCTAATGGGTCAGGTGCAAAGTCAATGAAGGGAACACCATATTGGATGGCTCCTGAAGTTATACTTCAAACTGGTCATAGCTTGTAAGTACATTTATATCTATCATTTTTACACCTGATTTCTTGTGTTTTCCTATAAACTTAAGACAATGTGTCTCTACTCTTGAATCTTGATACATCTGTTAACTCAAAATGTTCATATCTTGCAACACTTTTCATATGTTTATTGTAAGTACATTTATATCAATCATTTTTACACCTGATTTCTTGTGTTTTCCTATAAACTTAAGACAATGGGTCTCTACTCTTGAATCTTGATACATCTGTTAACTCAAAAAGTTCATATCTTGCAACACTTTCATATGTTTATTGTTGGTATTTAGTTGCAACAGTTAATGTAAGTATGAATTTTGTTAAATGACTCATAGATCTTCTATTCATCCAAAAGGGTGTTGAGAAACGAATTGTTTGGATATTAGTTTTCTTATTTTCTTTTTCTTTTTCTTTGTATCATTTTTTTAGCTCTGCTGACATATGGAGTGTTGGGTGTACGATAATTGAGATGGCTACAGGAAAGCCTCCCTGGAGCCAACAATATCAACAAGAGGTACTATTCAATTTCAAACTACTTTTTCTATAGAATGTGTATTTGATTTCAATACTTATGTTTTAAACTTTGATCAATAATACTCCACATCATTTGATATTGTTTTATCTTCATTTCAGGTTACAGCTCTGTTTTATATTGGCACTACAAAGTCTCATCCACCTATTCCTGACAATCTTTCTTTCGAGGCACAAGATTTACTTCTCAAATGCTTACACAAGTACATACATCTAATCATTTTCATTTTGTATTTATTACAATCCGTATAATTGGTTTGGGGGGAGGGTATTTTGGTCTTTTAATACAAAAAAGAAAGAATAGAATCAAATTCCTTTCACCACCCTCTAGGAATGTTGAAATTCATAGAACCAAACACAAACACACCATCGCATTAGAATCTTAAATTCTAAATCTGCTAGACTCCACAAATGAAGCATGCCTTTATATATATATTTCAATCTGTATAATGGGGGTATTTTAGTCTTTTTTCTTCACCTTTTTCCAGTTATTACACTAAGTTGGTTATATTTCAGGGAACCTGAGATGAGGCCTTCTGCTTCTGATTTGTTACAGGTGATTCTAAATTTAAATCCTTTTTAATTTCTCTCAAGAGTCAATTCTCAACTTACGTTGCTCCAATATTTTTGCATTATTTCTTGCAGCATCCTTTTGTTACAGGGAAATCTCAGCCAAATTCTCATGTTGCAACTCCAACAATGGTTAGTTTTTTTTTTTTTTTTTTTTTTTTTCCTGCATTTTTTGTATTGTCTAAATGCAAAAAAAAAAAAAAAAAAAAAGAAAAGAAATACATTCATATAGTTTTATCCTTTAAAAGATTTGTATTTTGAAACTACAATTGTCTTAATAAGGATAGTAGGATGCTATATTAAACAAATAAATGAAAGTATGTTGATATTTCTTGCATTTAGCTTTTTTCATTTTATCATGTCAGGAAAATATTGAAGCTCCTTCCACTTCATGCTCAAGCATTCTGGATAACTCGTGAGTATATTAATATTACTTTGATGCTTTAGATATGTATGCAGTTTAATTAAAGTAGAAAATATTGCATTTATTTTGGAAATAAGAATGCAAAATTAATTTATTTTTTTTATATTAAATGACAAGCAGCCCTGGTTCCATGTGTAATCTGGGCACCATCAACTTCTCTGCTGTGAATTTTGAAGAAAGTAAACTTGAGTGGAGAGCAGACAACAGTGATAATGACATGTGTCAGATGGATGACATCAATAAGGTGGATATATTTTTCTTCTTTATAAAATTTACCTTTTTGGGGTCTAAATTTGATTTGCATATTATGTTTGGTAATTAGAGTTTCAACCCTATGGAACAACCTTCTGTTAACGAGGAACAACAAGGAACCTTTGACATCGAACAATGTTTTGAA